TCCACCTTTCTGTGTTGTTTAGCATTGTGGCCAAATGTTTGGTGAACGACTGAGAGGCCCGGGTTTTAGCCTTGGCCAGTGTCCTAGCCTCATCTCGTTTACTCGCAGTGCCCGCTCTCTCTGTCAGGTGTATAAATAAAATAGTTGAGACAACCTCGCGACTTTGGGGAGGGGAGAGGGAATTGGCGATGAACAGACATCCCATCCAGGGAAATACGCTCGAGAATTGAGTAGGTAGCGCGAGTATTTTAAACCAATCACAGAGCGTAGTAAAGCAAAACCAAAGCAATTACTTTTGGCACTTAGTTGAAAACCACTCTATTACCCTTGATGATTTATTATACGTCTTTGCAGCCACTTGTGCGTTTTGTTACAAATCAGATTACCAGTCTAAGTTTAGGTTTATTTATTTATGCTTTCTTTCTCTTTTTTCTATCCAGAACTATCAAAGACAGGACCAGTACTTCTCGGTCGATCTGGACTCTGTGTATCACAACCCTCTTACTGGCTCTCCAGTGTACAAACTGTCCACAGTGGACTCAGACAGACGCAACCGCTTTTGGCTTGTAGCTTATGTTGTCTATGCTAATGGACGTAAAAGTCAACCTTTTTATAGCGAACCATTTCTGCTCAAGAGCAAGAGAAGCTGTAAGGTTTCTCCGTATTAAGGAACGCTTTTCCCCACTAAGATCATAATTCACTTCTGTGAAGTGTTTATAGGGAAGGCCGGAATGTAAAAGTTATCTACCTCACATAATGTTACATGGAAGGGATTACCCAACGCCTCCCCTAAGAGTAGACCATATGGGTCATGTTAACGTAAAGGAAATTTTTCGTAAATAATTTAGCTTATCTTTTGTTTAATATTGCCATGTATAAAAGTGTTGAGTGATTTACTTAACACGTGAAACAAAGTTTATTAGTGAGAAGCCTTTAAAGAGTTATCAAGTGTACTGTAGGATCTATTTCACGGGTTAAGTTAAGTAAACTCACTCTGCAGAAGAGATTGTAAATATATCGTTTATTGAAAGTTTTTATAAAACGCCTTAAAAAATCTAGCGTGATTTAACAATGGAATGTTTGACTCGAATGCTTACGCTTTCTTAGAGCTTTCGCTTTCAGCCGTTTAAAATAAAAGTCAGTACAATGGCGTGACCTCCTCAATTCGTTTCTTTCCATGAGGGTTGCTCGTCTTGGAAAACAGCTTTAAAATTAAGATCCAACCACTAACTATATGAAGGCAATACCGTACGTGAAGATAATAATTACTATATCGAAGTTTTTCTTATCACTCCCTATATGGTGGGTAAAATCAAGAAATATTTTTGTAATTATTCGTTTCATTTGTTCAATAAAAGAAACATATACAAAACATTTATAGTTGACGATTTACCAGATTACAATAACGATTAATATTAAATTGCAGCATTACTGGTGACAAGGAAATTAGATTAAAAACTTGTTTGTACATACACTTGCTGTTAAATTATTAGCATTACCAGGAGTCCATTACTGGGCTCCTGGCATTACATTAGCATTACATTAGCTGTGCATTTTTATATTCTGAAAAAAAAATTGTAAATTGTATCAATTTTAAAAGATTTCCCCGATAGAAAGGAGAACATCAAGAAAAGGAAACTATTGTAATATTGTAAACGCAAAATAAAAATAAAAACGTGTCAGAATTGATGTAGTCCTTCTCTTTAGCGAGCGTGAAACGATCAAGGTCCTGGAAACGAGTCATCGACAAAAGAAAAATAGAACTACCCCTTCCCCCCCTCGCCTTTGAAACGGGCGTGTATTGTAAAGCCGGGTGTTCAACTGTATGGGACATTTGAGTCAGTTGCTCTTTGTTGTTATAGTACCACAAGGCGTGAGATGTAAATACAGTGGAACTTCGATTTCTCGAACCTCCACGGGAAACGAAAATTGGTTCGAGAAATCGGGGGTAAAATTACAGTGGTAAAAGTCCAAGGGAAACAACTTTTGGTTCGAGAAATCGGGTTTTTTTAAGAAATCGAGGGTTCGAGAAATCGGGGTTCCACTGTATGTACATTATTTTGTTGTATACAGTCAACTCTCTCTAATGCGGACACCCTCGGGACCAGCTCTAGCTGTCCGCCTTAGAGAGGTGTCCGCCTTATAAAGAGATAAATGTAACTTGACACTATAGAAACCCGTGACGTCAGAACTGGAACGAGATCTTTATTAAGGCAGTTACAGTTGCATATTTTCAGTCCCTTTCTAAGCTGATCAGTAAAACTATTTTACAGTTTGATGAACGGTAAGCCCACCAGTAGGTCAGTTTGAATTCCTATCCGGCCTATAATCTATTGATTGTGCAACAAAAATGCACTTCTAGTGTCCGCCTTGAGAGGTATTTTGCTAAAAAAGTGTCCGCTGTCCACCTTAGAGAGGTGACCGCCTTAAAGAGAGTTTAGTTACAGACAAACAAGTGAAATTCGGCCAGGACCAGCTATCCATGTCCGCCTTAGGGAGGTGTCCGCCTTACAGTGGTGTCCGCTTAGAGAGAGTTGACTGTGTTATAGTTTTACAGCATACCATACTGATGTACAATCTTTTTTACTAACCTGACTGTGGGAGTAAAGGCATATTGTTGCACTCCTTCGATGCCACTCCTGCACTTTCGGCCGGGTTGGCTAACTATTTAATGTTGGAATAAATAACTGTTTCTATTCAGTCTTTTCCTGCTTGTTTGGAATAATTTCGAAAGGAAGAGCTCAACATTTCATTCGCCGCTAATTTGGAGCTATTAGAGAGGTTAACATGGTTAAAGGGGCACTATCATGAGCATCACTTGAAAAGCCAAAAGACATATTTATATCAATGGAAACCTAAAAATAATGGTCCAGTTTTGTTAAAAATTACTATACTAGCCCAGTGTACTGAAGTTATAACTGCAGGAATGCTATCATGAGTTACCCATATAGGGGCTTTTAATTTAAATTTTGAAAAAGTCGGGCAGACTTTTTCAAATTATGCCCTTGTGTCTTCGAAATATCGCTAAAAAACTAATTACAGTTTGCTCTCCCCGGCCTTCAACAATTCACTTGATATCTTCCTCTTGATGTTCTTGGCGCATTTCGTGTATGAGCTAAGGTACCTAACTAGTCATAATGATTGCACTGTTTTGACCAAAAAAGCCAACAAATCCCCGTGATAGTGCCCCTACCACCTAACGTTATACGGCTTATTAAATAAATCCATTACTGAGAAAAAATCGAAAATAATTCACATGTGCGAAACTACTCATTTTCACGTACAAGATAGACGTTTTTGAAAAAGAGATAGCGCGACTGCGCATGCCCAAGACTTGTGCCATATCCATTATGACCGGTATCGATTCGTATTTCGAGAGAAAACGTTGATAAGCAACTGAAGCACAAAGGATTGTCCAGGGATTGTCTTATCAAACTTAGTCAGACGGAGAAGAAAGGGAGAGAACAAGAAAAAACCTAGAAAGGTAAATCGGAAGGAGTAAGAAAGTCCAACTTTTCTGCCATTAACAGATGCGCAAATAAATAATTCCACGCGTTTTTTTTAGTATAAACTGGCCAATAAGTCTAGTACAAGTGTTCAGTGTATGGCGCTGTTGCATCAGCGATTCTGTAAAATTTAGACTTGGATGTAAAAATGCGGTTTCGGTGGCTTGAATGCCGGCTATTTTGGTCAAAAACTGGGGGTTAAACTGAGCCGGGTTTTTTGCCTGTCCGAAATGAACATTTCTCAGCCTAACCAGATCTAGAGACATTGTTCTCGATTTCTATTATTAAACCACAAAACATGCTACATACCTGAGAAGGAAATAGCGCCTACCGATAACATGTTTTTGACTAGTTTGATGATCAAGACTACTTATTTTAACCGTCCGTTTCACACCGCGAGTGCGAGTTTGTGTTTTATTTAAAAGCTGCTATGGAAACAATGACATCAAAACTACGTCACAGTAGACGATGGACGACGGCGCGCGCTACCGTTGAAGAACACAGACAGCCTGGTACCCAGGGGTTCTCCCCTGTAAGGCTAGGGCGAAGGCATAGGTACGAGCGTGCTTTAGTGTCGTCTTAGCTTATCAGCTCGGGTAATGATAGCTACAGTTGAAGCTCCCGTAAGCGGACACCCTCGCATTGTGCCTCGGGAAGCAGAAAAAGTGTCCGCAACTGGAGCTTTGTAGAGCTGAAGTGAATAGCTCTTGTAAATACCATGGGGTAAGCTTATTCATCGTTTTGAACATCATTACATCAGCTTTTTGTTTTTCGCGACGTTTAGATAATGTGTCCCAGTTTAGTTTTTCCAGAAGAAGGCTCGAGCTAGTATCATAGGGTGATTTCGTAATCACCCTGGCTGCACGATTTTGAAGTTTCTGCAGTTTATCACCTCCCACACGGGGCTGGAAGAAGTGCGATAAGAGTCGCTACCCAGGGGTTATTTCACAGCTGCTTCGAACTTTCGCCGCTCCGACTTTTGCCGATTATAAACTTTCTTCGCGCCCGACTAACTAGCCCTGGGTCTCCGAGGATGGGAGCGATTATATACCACCTATTTCAATTAACGTTGTCGGATAGAAATGTTTTTAAAAGCCCGCAAGACAAGACCGAAAGGTAGCATGGTTAAAAGTAGAATACTGCTGCACGCACCGAATACTAATGAGAAGTAACATGAAAAATATTTCTAACGTTTCCTTTTGTTTTAAACCTGTAGAAGTAAGCTACTTTTAGCCAAAACTTAATTTTAGCAGAATCTGCTAGTAAAAAATCTATTATCTAATTCAGGGCAAACCAAATACATCACGTGCGAAATAAAAACTTGTAGATTTCTTTTCCACCGACTGATGCAAATTCTAATGAATACCCAGACTACCAATCGGTCTTGTCTTGTAGGCTTTACGCTTTCTATCCGACAACGTTAATTGAAATAGGTGTAGACCGATTGGACCATGCAACATTGGACCATGTGAAAGCAAAAAATGGGAAAAAATCCACCGCCGGTGGGACTCGAAACCCACAACCTTTGAATTAGAAGTCCAACACGCTAGTCCATTGCGCCACGGGGGCTTCACATAACGGAGAACCGACAATTTTGAAGGTGGCCCGCGGCTATTTATTGGAGCAGAGGTTCCCTTAGTATCCGCAAGCTTAAAACTAGAGTAATGGGCCTAGAATGCTGCCTTGAGGTACGCCGCAATTAACTGTTCGAACAGTTGACATTTTGACTTCGATTGCTTTTAAAAATAAGATTGAAGCCACTTGAGAGCATTTTGGTCAGCACCAAAGTATGACATCTTGCGCAAACTAATTATATCAAAAGCCTTTTTAAGGTCGATGAAAACAACACCAAGTTGTTGCTTTTATTACGGTTACAAGCAATGAAGAAATATCTAACTAAAAAACATCCACAAGTTTGTCTAGTCCTTTACGGACTAGCCAATCCCAAAGTAGAGGTTCCACTAGGCGAAAACCAAAAAATCCACCCCAGAGGTTCCCTTTTTTAAAACTAATTTTCGGCATAATAATAAATAATAATAATAATAATTAAAATGAAAAGCATGAAGGCGTCAACCGATTTCTGTAATATTTGTTATTCAAAATAAGGAATCTTCAAATTTTATAAGACTTTTAATTTTAGGGCAAACGAAATAAAAGATTAAGAGATACAAGCGCTATTAGAAAACCTTGTTTCTTACGAAATCGGGAATATTCTCATCAAACGAATTCAAATACTTCAATGTTTACTGTGAGCAAGTTTCCACAAAATTGGCTGGATAGAAATTTCTGCACAGTTGACTGCTGAATTTTAGCTTCAAGAACGCTTCAATAATGCTAAGATCGCACCTATTGTTGGAAAGCTTGCGGATACTAAAAGAGAACTTCTGCTCCAATAAATAGCCACGGGCCACCTTCAAAATTGTCGGTTCTCCGTTATGTGAAGCCCCCGTGGCGCAATGGACTAGCGTGTTGGACTTCTAATTCAAAGGTTGTGGGTTCGAGTCCCACCGGGGGTGGATTGTTTTTTCCATTTTTTGCTTTCACATATTTTTGAAACACTTCTGTTGCATGGTCCAATCGGTCATTCCCGACACAGATCGACGTTTTTGCGGACGATTTTGCCAACTTACAAGATGATGGGAGATATGTTCGGATCAGTTCTTCAGCCAGTTTTGGCTTCATTGACTTCATCGCGTATCGTGTAATAATTAGACTAACCGGCCCAGATACATGCACGGTGCAACATTGCGCGCAATGGCTAAATTGCATCGTGTGTCCACCCTGAAATTATTGCGCGCAATGTTGCAGAAGTAGAATCTCGTTCTACCGTCTGCAACATTGCGAGCAACACATTTCATCGTGTGTCTAAAAATAAAAGATAAAACCATAGCTCTTCTTCAACATATTTACCAACCTCGTCCCCAGGGCCATCTCCGCTTTCAAGATGGCGGTTGGGCGCGAAGAAGACCCTGGCGAAGAGCAGGTCACGTGTCTCCAAAAATAGTAATATATTCTCACTGGGATCCCCTACAAACAATGCCTGGGCTATGATTAGATATGGGGAGAATCAGCCCGAGGCGATTGGGAGCAGGTAGCTCCCAGAGGAGAGGATGGCTCATCGCTGCGGGAGGTGGGTGGGGAAGCAAAGTGACGGTCGTCCTGTCGAAAAGACTGAGCGAGTTATGGCGTGAGGTGTGGACTGAAATACTGAACACGGGGTATAAGGTTACGTAACACATCCCAACGGACCACATACTGCACGTCGAATATATCTAATCAGGAATATAGAGGCATTATATGCGGGTTCCCCAGAGAGAATAGTAATATATTCTCACTGGGATCCCCTACAAACAATGCCTGGGCTATGATTAGATATGGGGAGAATCAGCCCGTCGGCGATTACTCACATAGTAACTCTAATAGGGAACTTCATGACCACAAAAGCTGGAAATCCAGTAATACTTTGTATGTTCCTCCCATAACTCAAAAATACTCCCTTCCGGGATTCAGTGACACGTATCCAGGGTTACCAAAAATGTAGTCCATGATCCACAAAGAAAAAACACTCATCATGACACAACATTCTGGGCTATTAAATAGGGCTAAACTCTAAACTCGTATAATTAACATTCTGGGCTTAGAGGGCTAAACAGTAAATGGCATAACTGAGGTGAGTAAAACCAACCACGCCCACTTTTCCCCAGTTGAAAGGAGGTCCATAATAAAGGCTTGCATTAAAACCCATGGCAAGATAGGACTGAAAAAAGCAAACAAACAAACAAATTACTCCGGCTTGAAAATGTTTAGAGTTATAAAACGAGCCTTGGAAATACCCCCCAAAAAATAGGCCGAAGACTTTTCTAACATTACATTTGCGTCTGATATAAGATAGAGTTTCTTGATACTGTGCTATGGAGAAAAACATTTTTCCATTTCTTGACATACAGATGAATCTACGACCACCAATCCTTAGGATCTTAAAAGAGCACAACCTAAGTTGAGGTCTGAACCGATAGCTCAGAGACTAAAACACAGAGAGCATCGGGGCTGCGACGCTTTGGGGTTTACCCATAAAGTTACAGTAGCAAACAGATACGGAACGACACAGCCTCCTATGGGCAAAAGAGACAACGGTTTGTAGCTATAGGTTGCCATAAAAAGAAAATAAATCCCCACTAGGGACGGGTAGGACCCCAAAGCGAAGCAAACCCCGAAATACCCCGTCCAGGGACAGAGCAATGAAGGAATATTAGATAATCCCTTCGAGGAAGCTTCGCCAATAAAGGCCACCCACAGAAAAACGAAATAAGTAGCGAGACGAAATCACTTGGTACAGTAAACTGTAAGAATACAACTAGAGCCAACAACTAAAAATTCAGCGAGACACATACATTATAACCCGTCAAGGAAATAGCCTCGCTAAAACAACGAAGTTCGGTGAACCCACTGAAACAACTCTGCGAGGCCGTGGAAAACAAACACGCCATCAGAACTGATTCGGCGCAGACTGGCGCAGAGACCAACTCGTTATATAAACAGCTAAATTCGTAGAGACAATACAAACTAATTCGACGAGACAAACGTCCTACAACAACTATCTATAAACTCGGCGAGACAAACTGGCAAAATAAACTGGGCTCAGTCGGAGCGCGGGACAAACTCGCAAAAACAACTGATCTCGGTACGAAAAACTAGCAATAGCAACTAAACTCAGCGCAACAAACTCGCAATAACAACTTCTGAACTAGGTGCGACAGACTCGCAATAACAACTGAACTAGACGCGACAAACTCGCAATAACAACCGAACTCGGTGCAACAAACACGCAATTAGAACTGAACTCGGTGCAACAAACTCGCAATAACAACTGAACTAGGTGCGACCTCGCAATAACAACTGAACTCGGCGAGACAAAACTAGCAATAGCAACTGAACTCGGCGCAACAAACTCGCAATTAGAACTGAACTAGGTGCGACCTCGCAATAACACTAAACTCGGCGAGACAAAACTCGCAATAACAAACTAAACTCGGTGCAACAAACACGCAATTAGAACTGAACTCGGCGCAACAAACTCGCAATTAGAACTGAACTAGGTGCGACCTCGCAATAACACTAAACTCGGCGAGACAAAACTCGCAATAACAACTGAACTCGGTGCAACAAACACGCAATTAGAACTGAACTCGGCGCAAACAAACTCGCAATAACAACTGAACTAGGTGCGACTCGCAATAACACTAAACTCGGCGAGACAAAACTCGCAATAACAGCTAAACTCGGCGCGACAAAACTCGCAATAACAACTAAACTCGGCGAGACAAAATTTGCATTAACAACTAAACTCGGCGCGACAAAGCTCGCAATAACACCTAAACTCGGCGCGACAAAGCTCGCAATAACTACTAAACTCGGCACGACAAAACTCGTAATATTAAACAACTAAACTCGGCGAGACAAAACTCGCGATAACATTACTAAACTCGGCGAGACAAAACTCGCAATAACACTAAACTCGGCGGGACAAAACTCGCAATAACACTAAACTCGGCGCGACAAAACTCGCAATAACAACTAAACTCGGCGAGACAAAACTCGCAATAACAACCGTAAAACTCGGCGAGACAAAACTCGCAATAACAACTAGTAAACTCGGCGCGACAAAACTCGCAATAACAACCGTGAAACTCGGGCGAGACAAAACTCGCGATAACATTACTAAACTCGGCGAGACAAAACTCGCAATAACACTAAACTCGGCGGGACAAAACTCTCAATAACACTAAACTCGGCGCGACAAAACTCGCAATAACAACTAAACTCGGCGAGACAAAACTCGCAATAACAACCGTAAAACTCGGCGAGATAAAACTCGCAATAACACCTAGTAAACTCGGCACGACAAAACTCGCAATAACAACTAAACTCGGCGCGACAAAACTCGCAATAACAACTAAAACTCGGCGCGACAAAACTCGCAATAACAACTGAACTCGGCGAGACAAACTCGCAATAAACACTAAACTCGGCGCGACAAACTGAACTCGCAATAAACTTACTAAACTCGGCGAGACAAAAACTCGCAATAACAACCGTAAAACTCGGCGAGACAAAACTCGCAATAACAACTAGTAAACCTCGGCGCGACAAAACTCGCAATAACACTAAACTCGGCGAGACAAAACTCGCAATAATAACTAGTAAACTCGGCACGACAAAACTCGCAGTAACAACTAAACTCGGCGAGACAAAACTCGCAATAAAACAACTCGGAGAACTCGGCATGACAAGCACGCAATAACAACTAAATTCAGCGAGGACAAACACGCAATAACAAGTGAACTCGGCGAGACAAAACTCGCAATATAAACAAACTGAACTACGCGTAACAAACACAAAATAAGAACTGTACTCGGCGTGAGAAACACGCAATAATTCAACTAAACTTGGCGAGACAACTCGCAATAACAACTATTAAATACTCGGGCGAGACAAACCCGCAATATAAACAGCAAGACAAACTCGCTATAACACTTAAAGCAAGACAAACTCGCTATAACACTTCAAGC